CGAAGCGATTCATCCAGCACCTATCTGTGATGACGACACGCCGCGGGATAGGCTCCGCCCACCCGGAACTGAAACCTCCCTCTGTTGTCACATGGATGGATACAGGTTGTTGTTTGTGAAAACAGCAACAATGTCCACTTCGAGCTAATAAATACTTATAATGATTAAAAACTAAGGTGGGCTTTGGTGTCGCCGCAAGAGTCCCCTCTGTCCAAGCTCCACAGTGGCACCATCTGGTGAAGAGCAGGAAAGTTGCTTCTCTCCCAGCAACTAAACAAACAAAATCTGCATCTTTTGTTCTGATTTTACTTGTGTCGTTTAGTCTTTTAATAAGTTGTGTCTTCAGCAGTTGTGGAGAAAGTACTCAAACACTGTACTTAAGTAAAAGTACAAATAAACAGACAAAAATGTACTCTAGTAAAAGTAGAAGTACCATATTAACATGTTTACTTAAGTAAACAAGTACTTGCTTTAAAAATACTTAAAGTATTAAAAGTAAAAGTACTTCCTGAATGTATTACCTAATGTAATGGTCTACATATCTTTAAGTCTGCGTACCATATGTATATTTTCTGTAATACATTAATAGTGTTGTTCCATTTTAATGAACGATGCTGCAGATAATACATGTTTTTATTGTGTTTACTCTGTGACACTTCACACTTGGACTTGTGATTCTGTGTCAGAATTTCAGGGATGACATGCAGAGTTAAATGTCATTAATCAAAATAAGAAAGAGGAACGATTATACCTTTGAAAGTTTTTATTTAACACAAAGTAAAACCTATGTGTCATTTTAACTGCAGTAAACACATTTAAGTAAAAGTCGTCTGCCTGAACAAAAGGAGCATTAGACACAACTAACAAAGGAACATCTGATCATTTCAACTCGTTTGTCATCAACTCTAGTTAAAATGTGTCTATTCAACCTTGTAATGGGTCAATATTGAACAATATTTTAACTTCCTGACACCGTTTTTAAAATTTGGACCGGAGTGTCGAGCCATTTGGAGACATCTCTTGTCTCCCAACATCATGGACTGACACATTTTAATATCGCAGCAAGAATTTCTTATTCAAGTTCAGAAGAAGTTGGTTTTCAAAGATTTTTGAGTCCAGTCTGGCTCTTTTGGGAGAGAGAATCTGTCCTGTTGTACCGAGCAGTCTTTCAATAAGACCATGGGTGGCGTGTATCTTCTGACTGACTCTCTTGCGGTGGAATACATTTTGGGTGTGTTAGCGGTGCTGCAGGTGCACCCAGCTCAGTGACATATATACTAGAATATATGTCACTGACCCAGCTCTTCTTGAAGGCGGGCCTAACGTTACCTGACCACTTTACAGTGATTCAATGGACCAGCTCCCCTCTCTTGGTTACTTTCAAAGTAACAAACAAATAAAAGCCGCAACACGAATGTAACTTGTAATGCAACGCGTTATAGAAATGTAGTGTAGTAGAAAGTACAGATACATGAAAAATGTACTTAAGTACAGTAACGAAGTATTTGTACTTAGTTACATCCCACCACTGGTCTTCGGGGTTGTTTTAGCCTTTTGTCCATTTTAATCTGCGGCAAACTGTTGAATGCACGTCCAGCTGTAAATCACATAATCCAATGAGAATCAATGCTGCCCAAAATAACTTCATAATCTAAGACAAGACAAAAAAACAAACAAACAAAAAAAAAAAAAACTGCCTTTTTCTATGACCGATATGAAAATTTAAAGATAACTTTGATTTAAAATAAAAAAAAAAAAGATAAGCTTCAGTGGCTCATTAGAGTCACCATGGTAACCACACATGTCAGTCACGCCTGACTGCCAGGTTGTTGGAAACAGAAACAAATTTATTTATTTTTTCACTTATTCACTCACTCATTTAAGAAAAGCAAAACAAATTAATTAAAAAGAAAATATTTATTAAATAAAATAATGTAATAAAAAATGAAGACTCAAACAGTCACTGTGCAAAAACGATGAGTCAAACTCTAAAACTTCTTGAACCATGAGCAGCAGAAGACCCTGACGGTCCCAAATAAATTAGATTTTTTTTAAATGTTATTGTAGTCCTTTATGTAGGTGATATTATCCATCCATCCAAAAGAAGTTAGATTTTTTTTTAAGTTTCAAACTGTCTACATTATTGTTATAGTTAGGTGTTAAGACATTAAAGTTTAGTTTTGAGGCAAAGATTTTTATGCATGTTTAAAATATTTGCCATAATTATAAACATATTAACAATAAGGGCACCTCAAGACAAGTTAATCTTTTACAAATATTTTAACCCTTTTATTATGCTTTTGATCATATCAGTCCAGAAGCTTCTTGTATAATGACCACTGATCTGTAAAGTGTCATCATGTTTGTTTTTACAGAATGTGCATAAAGAATCTAACAGCCATTTAATTTTCTTTATAAGAAATATTTTCACATAAAAGTTGTGGGTGATTTGTATGAGGTCTTTCTGTTTTTGCTAATTACATGAGGTAACAGACATGAGCATTTACTAGAAACATTTATACTTGTTTGACCAAAAGGGGGATTTTTTTTAAAGTGATGTTTTGTCAGAAGCATTGATGCTGATGATGGGACAGAATCAGTGTAGATTAAAAAACATTATTTAAAAAAAAATAAAAAATGCAGATCCCTGGAAATGGCAGCAAAAACCACAAAACATATTTCATGGTTCAGGAAACTGATCAAGCGATGGAGTTTGTGTATTTGATACCAAAATCCCTTAAGTAGTTTGTGATTCTTTAATCCAATCACTTCTAGTAGAAAATGAATTTGTTTGTAAATCTGACGTCATTGCTATTTTATATATAATATTTATGATGTGAGAAATTGTGCTTCTTAATGAGTGACCAACTTAAAAACGCTTCTTTGTGAAAACAAGTGACAGTTTCTGTGGGATTTCAAACAAGTAATTTCAAACAGCAAACAACCCGACGCACACTGTGACGTAAAATTCCCGCGACAGCCGTTTGTTTCCATGGAGCCGGCAGAAGCTTTAAACCCAAGATAACGGATTAGCGATTGGCCTGCTTCTCCGCCGTTTTGTGTTGTAAAATAAATTCAGGATGTCGGAACATTTAGAGACTATGTTTTTATTCGAGTTTTTGGTGGAAAGCATCCGACTCGAGCGACTTTTTAAAGCTTCCCACCGGTTGGCAGTCGGAGTGCGACTCCTGGATTTCCCACTGCTGCTAATTGATCAACCGGGCGGTAACAAGGACCACACCGAGCGGGAAGGACATGATAGACCAGGTGAATACACATTTAACAGAGGCAAATCTTGTTTCTTCAAGATGAACCGTCCCTCTCTGCACGTCCAGCTGTCCAACACTCCTCTTTATGCCATGGTGCTGGACGCGACAGAGGGCAGCCCCAGACTGGTTGGCTCCTCTCTCATATCCCTGGCTAAAGCAGTGGACAGAGTCGAGCAGGGAGGTGTTTCGAGTCCCTCCTCCCACAGAGAAAGGGGTCTTGTCTCTTTATGCGACCTAGCAGGGGAGAGGATCGGAACAATATCCCTGAGTTATAAACTGGTGAGTCTGGGGGCGAGCTTACTGTCACACATCGCTGAGAAGAGGGGATTTAAAGGGACTGGTGGTCAGCAGCAAGAGCGTGTCAAGGAGAAAAACAAATCTCCCGAGTCAAATGTGTTTTCGCCCACAATAGACAAGTTGGAGCTTAACGTCCAAAGTAATAAACAAACAGATTCAAAGATCCTGTTGGGCGAGGATAAGCTGGATGACAGCGCTGCATGCGTCTCAGCTGAAAGCCCAAATGCACACTGTTATGAGGAGGACGTAACTGTATTCTGCCCCCCTCATCTTTACTACAGTAATACTGCGCAGGAGAGAAGCAGCAACAAAGAGGTGGATTATAAATTCCCGAATCTTGATTTGGAAGCTTTTACATTTGAAGATTCCTGCTTGGAAGATGAGAAGGATGAGGGTCTCAGCTCTCAGCGGAAAGTGGTTTTTACTTCTAACATGTCAAGTGGCCAGGAGGCCAGTGGGGGGACCCCAAATATCCTCAGAGAAGCCTTAAAGAAGCTGCCTCTGTTAAACGCACTTGTTGCTGAACTCTCCCAGTTGACTGACTCTGGTAATCCCAGTCCGGCTTGGATTTACAAGCCTGAGGACACCGGTACACATTTGAAACACCCAAGAAACTGTTCCACACCCATATTCAACCCAGCAAAAGACAGCCAAGAGGAGATTTTAAATGGGAACCAAGACTCCAGTAAATCTCACAGGACGAAGCTTGTTTATGGAACAACTAAAACGTTTAATCTAAGGCTGAAGCAAGCTTCTTCTCTCCAAGTAAAACATCGAGAATGCACAGGTTTGTTACGGGAAGAGACACAGACAGGGGCAGTCACAGGAAAGACAAAGTCAAGCAGGAAAACCATAAAGTCCAGCAAAGTAAAATCTGTGTTGAATCGGAGCCACAACCTCAATGAAAACATTGAGACAGCGATGCAAAGTGTCCCGGCCGACCCTGCGCTACAAACAACCGTAACACTGAAACAAAAAGCTCAACATGATGAACAAAACAGCGATGAACGAGAAGATTCAGAGAAAGCTTTTCATCCGCAGAGAGCATTAAAATGTATTCACCTTCCCAGTGTGGACAGGGACAGCATTCCTCCAGGGAAAGACAAGCATCAAAGCAGATCAGATCAATCAGAGTCTGACAACGATAACTTAAAAGTTTTAGTTCCTCGTGTCAAAGAGAAACGAAACGGTAGCCCAGACTCATTTTCAGAGTCCAGCATTAATGGAAAGGAGGATGGAGATTACACTGATGACTTTGACAGCTTAGAATCCAGTGATGCTTCTCCTCCTAAACCTGGGAGTCCCGAGTCCTCCAGGGCCAAAACTCCAAAGTCTCCTATTTGTTCCAGCTCAAGATCTGAAGGAACGAAACAAGTCCCTGTGCCGGTCAAAGTTCCCGGCTCTCCACGCCGAGCCCTGATGGGTACGCACATCATCCGACCTCGCACCCCCTCCTCAGCTCTCAGCTTTTCCACCGATGGTGACGACAGGGACGCGTCGGCTTCTTTACAGACCGTCTGCTCCAGGAAACGCACAACTGCAGGTGACCGAGGGGAGCCAAGCTCTGACGCCGCGAGCTTTTTATCTTCACTAGGTGAAAGGACTGAGTCACCTGGGGACCGTGACTCCGTTCAAGGGTTTTCTGACAAATCCATATCCTCCTTTGAAGCCCAGGAAGCAGAGGAAATGGAGGAAGAGCTTGGATCTCTGAATTTCAGAAAGGAGTATCAGCATATTTCAGAGCTCGTCATCAACAAACTCCCTGGGTACACAATGTAAAGAAAAAATACCTTTCTCTGAAATGGAAACCTCAAATGTACTTTTTCTTTTTATCAAATGCTGCGCACAGAAATATCTGCAATGCTTATAAATAAAAATAAGCTTTTTGTGGAAATTTAGTGACATTGTTTGCCTGAATATTTCTTACAGGGTTATAACATAAATGAAAATGTTGGACAACAAATCTGTTCAAAACCACATATATGGATAAAAACTATAATTCTAACCCTGGTTATAGATTTAACATTAAAGTTGTGTTTTCCAGGCCTCCAAAAACCACCTGCCCGTTTGCATTTATGTTCATTATATTGGAATAAAACCAAAATACACACAGCTGCTTCATTTTGGTCCAGTTTGCCTTATCACCTAAAATGTTTTAGAATAGAATGAAAATATATTTACTACACATTAGTTCAACAGTTTGCTATCTACTCACCCAGGTGTGGACAAAGGAAACAATGTTAAAAATGAAAGGCACATCATTCCTTGGAGGAATGCATATCGCCCTTCCACCTTTCATGCCAGAGATTTAAACGGACGTGAATCAATCTGTGCTGTGAGATCTCCCATGATGTGTGAGCGCGTTGAGCATGTGTTGTGGATCACTTTCAGCTACTACCACACATGCATTAAAGTTGTGATATTTTGCTAACAGACAGACCGAAATGTTTGCTAATGGTTAATAGTAATGTTTCAAACAAAGATCATGCACAATTAGGCACAATAAAACAGAATATGGTTGTTGTTATGAGAAAAGTTATTGGTTCCACTTATTAGCTTTGTATTTTGTATTTTTATTAACGTTTTT